TGGCACCTGAGTCTTGAGGTCAGGGCTTTTCCACAAACCAAGCCAGAACCCCAGGCTTTGCTAGGACACCTGAGGAGACGCAGAGTAGAGTAGCAAAACACACATAAATGAGAATACAGCCATTCATAGGTCTTCATTAAATTGTGTAAAAGTATCTCATGCAGGTTGACTGAGAAGAAGACTGTAAGACAGTGAGGAGCACTGGTGCAGAAGAGTCTCGATCCGCAAGTGCGTACTTCAGAGAAGTAATGAGCATTGGGTCCTGCTGGAGAAGAGCCTGGGGCTTTCGTGTTAGAGGAGAGAAGAAGAAAAGAGAAGTGTGGACAAACTGGAGAAATAGCAGAGACCTGTGGGAGGAACCGAGACCTGGAAAGCCTGGCCCCAGGCTGGGCACTGGGCAGCAGAGTGCTGCTGTCACTTCACGCTGGGCTCCACGTTTATATTGCATGAAAATAACATTTGACAAGTCCTCTTATCCCGGGGATGAGGGGGAAGGAAAAGTTTCTATTTTCCACGACCAGCAGGTTCAGTTTTCTGTTTTAGCCAAATGAAAGTGCAAGCATTTATGGGTCTATTTTTATGTTGCTGTTGTTTTTGGCAAAAATGGGAACATGAACTGACCAAAAATAGAAATGCTGCATACTTTTTAGCTTCCCATGCCCAGGATGAGCAAAACACACTAGGCAAACAAAAAGACTTTACAGGCGTAAGGGTAAATATCCTTCCCATTTCTGTTTTCAAGACCTGTTAGAAACAGAGGTAAGGAAAGCTATTTGTTTGAAAGATAGGATTTTTGAAATGACCACAATGTTCCTTTTAAACTGCACTGAAATACCAGATAAAGACAGGGTACTGAGTGAAAGAGGGCTGATGGCGCTTTTATTGTGTGATTTGCCTTGTTTTTTTCTGAAGTACTTCTTTTTAGCCGATTACCATGTATTTACAGTTAGTGTAATTATATCTAATTACTTAATTAGCATGAATACGTGTAATTACTAACTTCAAATATGTAATTATGTCAGGGCAGCCTGTAATAAATGAGGTTGAAAAAAACCCTCATTAGGACTCTACGGAAGGATGGCTGCTCCACCCGTATGGAGAATGCATCCCAGTCCCCAGACTGAGCCAGTCCTGGACGAGGAAAACACAGCCAGCTCCAGTTATGCCTGGTAAAAATCTCCACCAAAATCAAACCACTTGCCCCAAAAGTCTAGCTTCACTGCTGTGGTGGGAACCGAGCAACGCCTGCTGGGAGGCAGACAGGGATCTGCAAAGGATCTGCCCCCCAGATTCATTTTCTCCATCGAGGTTTGGATTTTTTTCTCTGATTTGTGTCATTCTCAAGAAGACTTCTTTTGTCAGGCAAGAAATATGAAGGAACAGAACAACTCCAAAACCATGCTGTGGCATCTGAGTAAAGCTTGAGAGATCAGATCCAAGAACTAATCTGCATCTGAGGCATTCTGCTTATAATTAATTACTACTTAATTACTACTATTAAAGTAAAACAATCTTCCAAAATATTTATTCTGAAACATTACCAATTTTTCACCACAGAAATTTCCAGCTGCTCATAATTACAAAATTTGAATTTTGCATATTCAAACCCTGAACATCAGGAGATGGAGCTAAAACAAGAAGTTGCTGTTACTGCCAAGCCTGCCCGGAAGGACAAATAGCCATCTTCTGGACACAAATGAGGGCAGACAGGATCATGTTTTGCATGACCGAATCCCCTGACCATAGGCTGAAGCCACGTTGTGCTACATCCTGTCTCCTCACCACATATTCTGTCCACAGTGTTTGCCACAACAAGTCCTATTCTTCTCCTCTTGTCTGTTTATTTCCAAATATAGAGAGGTGAAAACTCATCACAACCTGTCGCTCCTCCTGCTGACATCTGCGAAGCCAATATGCCACTTGTTCTCTTCTATGCGCAAAAGATCAGGAGAAAAAGACTGGTTTAGGTTATTCTTCTGAAATTGATTTGCGGTTGGGACTATCCCCGTTGCCAAGCTCTTTGCTTAACCCTCCGGTTAGGGCTGAGGACTCCTGAAACAAGGACTGGTTGCAAAATGGGGACAGCATCTTCTCAAAGACTCAGTGCTTCATCATGAGAAAACAGGGTGGTGCAGTTTCTCCCATGGCTCTTTGAGAAGTCCTCAGCCAGGAAGTGAAAGAGGAGCCCAAGCGTAGCTCGTCCCTCCCGCTCCTCTAAATCAGGCAGTAGCAGAAAAGGGGTAAGACAACTGCAAAAATGCCAGAAAGCCAGTGGTGAGAGCTGGCTTCTGCACTGTTCATCCCATTGATGCAAGGACAGCACATCCCCAGTGAGGAACACGTCTCTACCTCCTTGAGGACACATTAATGAGAAGAGCCCACAGGACAGCATTGCACAGCGGGAGCGAGAGGGGCTGCAGCTCCGCGGGCAGGGAGCCTCTCTCCATATTTCAGCTGCAATTCTATTATGCAGAGCTAAGTGGCTGGGAATAAACATCCGTCATCCCTGCGTGATAAGTGATGTTTTCTAGTATAGAGGGTGACAGAAATCTATATCACATCAATGTACTATTAATACTGCATTAAGCATATAGAGTTTGCTCTCCTCATTGCACCGCGGTAATGGGTATCGGCATGTCCCCAACCCAGACAACATCCAAGAGCACAGGGATGCTTGCAGGAGGAAGGAAGCAGAAAATCTTCATGATGGAGAGAGAAATCGCTTGCTGAAGATGTTGCTCTAGGAACACCTCAGTGCAAAGGAGAGACACTGGGTGCCCCAGAGCACCTTTGCTCACAGCTGGACAGTAGCTCTGTGGGAGGTGGGTGGCGGGAGAGGGGTGACAGCTTGCACCAGTACAGGCTTATCTGGGCATCAAGGCACTCCCCAGCCCAGAGGACTTCTCCTCTCTACAAGTGACAGCAAATGAAGAAGTGTTTTGTGTCCAAGTTCTGCACAGGAGGACAGAAAAACTCCCTGGCACGAAAACCACGGGAGAAATAAATATTCTCCAGCTCAGGTTTAAGTTGAGCAGAGCACATCAGGTGAAACAAACCCCTTACAGTGATATCTCCCCAAAGCATGGTTAATTTAAAAGGTGAATTATGAAACTTTCCAGCCTCAAGCAAAGCCACCAGTGAAGTCAGAAGTTTTGCCCAAGTCCTAGGGACTAAAATACAATACATACACCAAATCCAGCCCTGTCTGATGTCTCAAAGCCCGAGTTTTGCCTTGTGAATGACAAGCAAATCTAAAAAAATATAAGGGCTTTCAGCCTCCCAGCGTCCAGCTGTGGTTTGCGCCCCACAGCCTCGCAGCCCCAGGAAACTTGGAGCTCAGAGGTGGCAATTTGCCACAAATTTCCAAATGTGCAGTTGTCACTAGTGCTGCATTTCACCCCCGTGGCACCATCCACAGGAGACGCGGCTCCAAATGCCATCCCTAAGCATCTCTGTGAACTCTTCAGGTCCTAACTAAATAGCCCCGCGAAACTCTGAGGCCAAATCCTGCCACGAGTGGCTTCCCCTGCAACCCACCCAGCTCTGACAAACCCCACAGGGCACATGCTCAGAGCACAACTTCCTCCTTTGAGGTTTAAGCTCTGCTACTGCACAGCTGCAACAGCACCCACATCTTGAAATGATTGGCGCATAGATCAAAGAGTTTCAAGAAAACATAGGAGGGGAAAGAAAAAAAATAACGTGAGGGAGCCCCTCCTCCCAAGCCATCAGAGTTGGTAAATGATTTTGAGATGACGTGCTATAAGAAATGTAAAATATATAATTAACGGCACTGAAAAACCACGCTACATTCAACTTCTCCGCTCCTGCCTAATCACCACCCTCCTCCTCCCCTCCCTACAAACAGACCAAATTTAGCACATTAAAATGAAAATCAAATGGAAAGCCAGGCACGTTCATTGGTGTATCCCATCGCTCCAGCAAGTGAAGCATGGCGATAACAGCTCGGGCACTGGCTCATAGCACCTGGGAGGGGCTGCCCCAGGGACATCTCCAGGAAAGCAGTGGCTGCAGCTCACGAGTCAGCAGCAGCCAAGGCAAGAGCAGAGGCGACTCCAGTGCAAAACTTCCTGCTTCTGGCTGGGCCACATAGATAGTTCAAGCGGGGTTTTTTTTTCCCTTTTTTTTCACAAGCTTTCAAATTTTCCAGTTCTGTCTGGAACCAAGACACACCAAAAAGATGAGCAATAGCAGGAGAGGAACATTATCCGAACCTCCTGCGTTGCTTGGCTTGCATTGCAGAGCTGGTAAGAGGCCTGGGAGAACTCAACTACCGTTTTCGAGCCACGTGTCAGGGAGGCTGCATCTCACCGCTGGCATGGGATGCGGTGCGGCACTCCCAGAAAAGCATCCTTTTACCCATTGCTTTTCTTTTACATTCAGAGTTTAGGAGTGCAAAACAGAGAAGACCACTTGATCACCACCTGCTATTCTAACGAGCTCAGTTCACAACTCAGATTTATAGAGGGAAGGTACAGAAGTTTTACAGAAGCCCATGAAAACGAGACATCCAGCATCTAATCCTCCTGTTCTTTATCTCCACACATCTGCCTTATCTGTGGCCACATGTCCTGAGCTTTCCCTGGCCCGGCAGGGAGCCAAGGAGGCAGCCCCATGGCTGGGAAACTGCTGGAGGAGGAAGGGGAGGCAGGTCCTTTCCCCAGCCAACAAGGCAGAGCCCAGCTTCAAATGGCATTTTCAGGCATGTGGGGAAGGTGACTGGTGGGTGGCAGAGGGAGGGTGAAGGGAGGTGAAGGTGAGGGTGGAAAGTCCTCTCTGGAAGCACCTACATGTATGTTGTGATTTCTGAGACCTGAGATTCACTTTGGTTTCTGGACCATACCAAGACCCACTCTACTCAAAAACCTCCTTTTCTTCTTCCTCATCCTCTTAACTTCTTCCTCCTCACCCTCCTTCCCCCATCCCCCCAACCCATTTCCTGGTCCTCGCAGGGGTCTCCAGCCGAATCGGGCACTCACACGTGTCTGGCTTGTGGCAGTTGTGACCTTGTCGGAAGTACTGTGGGTTCTCGATGACGGGAATGCGGGTCATGCCGATCACCACCGTGTCTGGGCCAGCATCCAAGGACGAGGGCGTCGTGATGCCGTGGTTGATGTGGTGGAGGGGACTAGCTGAATCCTCCTCTCCGCTGATCACTGCCACGGGACCTGCAAACACCACACACATCCATCAGGCACAACAGGGGAAAGAGGACCCACGCGACCTGCTGACAAGCAAGAAAAAATAGTCAGACCCCCAGGATGGGAGTAATGGGAGTCTCCCAGCCATCCCCAGCCTGTCTGAAGTCCATTAATTGCTCTCATTTGAGCAAGGGCATGGAGGGAATTTCCCATAGGAGGAGCCCTGTGCCATGCTGGCACTTGCACCTCTTGGGAGCTACAGGCACCCAAGGCTGGCAGAGAGAAGAGCCCCCAGCAAGATACAGAAAAGGCAGCACCACAAGCTTTAGGCTGAGCTGTGACAAACCCAAAAAATTCCCTCCTCCTTGCCACCTATAATTCATCCACCACCATCCCAAGTACTTCTAATTCCCAGTTCTCCATCTGCTGCTTGCTTATGGGATCTGTTATCCATCCCCGTGAGGCTGAAAGGGACCCGGCGGGGATCTCAAGGTGTCCTGCCTGCACTGACCCCCATGAAAAGTACTGAAGTTGCTGCTCCACAAGCATGGAGCCCTCAGCATCCATCTCCTTGGTGAATGCACACAACAGACTTTCCCCACCACCTAAGAAGTACCCACCATCATCCCAGCCAAACGCTGCCCTCCTGGGCCAGTACACGTGCCTGCCCTAAGTCCCACAGCACCCACTTATGCATCCTTGTCTACCTTCAGGTCCCCAGAACCTGAAGGTCCCCAGCAGGTCCCCAAAACATCAGCATGTCCAAATGCACCCACATTGATCTCCCTACTGCAGCCAGCCAGCCAGCAGCCATGCTGCAGCTCCTTCAGTCCCCTGCCCCAGCCATGAATCCTCACAACCAAGTGACTGAACTCAAGAGCATCACTACTCTAATCTTGCCCTAACCAATGGCAGGCTTGTTCCCATAGGTAAAATAAAGTGGTGAAGGAAAGACCATCCATACCTGAGAGCCAAGGCCGGCATCCCACACAGAGCTATTTTACAATATCCAACTGTACCTCAGTTTTGGTTTATGCTTTATTTTATTTTTAGATCTTCTAACTTCAGCCTTTGCTATCAGCCGCCAAGGCTGGAAACCTCAGAGGACATCAGTCCTTAATATATTATTCCCCACTTCCACCTATTCTCACCTGTCCTGGGGTCCGACCTGCAAACCAACATCACAAACACCTCCATCGTGAGGTGAAACCTGATCAGTGCTGCAGCCATTCATGCTGTGTAAACACAGAATCCTGAGCAGTTGGGCAATGTGGAGACTGCACTGCAACCTTCCAGGAGGACCTCCCTTATATATTCACATCAGAAGAAAAACCACACTCAACAAGAGATGCTCCTTTTCTCCTGTCTGGATGCTACCAGGGGCTACCAGAAGCTCAAGAAAAATGAGCAGAGATGATGCATTGAGGCTTCAAACCTATTCAGAGGCCTGCCTTTTACCTATGTCACATAGCAAAAGCCTCTCTGCCATCAGTAATCTACTTCTAATTGCACAATTACTTTACTATGTAGCACTAGCAACAAAGAGGGGAATTTTCAAGCCATTTTACTCTCCGAAGCTTCTGGGAGGAGAGAGCGAACACCAGCTCCATGCAGTCATTCTGCCTGCATTAATCTAGTCTAAAGGCTGCTCATTTTTGGAGCTTCAAGTATTGTTTGTTCTTCCAAGTGGGATATAATAAAATTATTGTGTAATTAGCAGAGTCCTGGCAGCCATGGCAAGTGTTTTAGTCACAAGAAAAAAAGGTCTCTCCCTTTATTGTGAACTCCTTCTGGCAGGTTCTCGCTTTTTTTTTATGCTACTTCCCAGGCCTGCATGATTTCCAGCTTTTGAGACGCAAAAGCAAAATTCAGCTCTTGCTGCAAGACGCCTCTGTTGGGACTACGCACACTGTATTTCTCCAGACACAGAAAGCAAACAGGAAATTTAGCTTTGAATGGCTTCTGTTCTTTCGTGTTGTCAAGTCTTTACATGCAAACCAGGAGGATTGGTTTTTGCAATGTGTGCATGTCCCTTTAGCCATAGCCTTCACCACTGGCTGGCCCAGCTGCAGTGGGAAGACCTCTGCATTTCAAGGTCCAATTCACAAAAGAGGTCATAAAAATATCATCTGGTATAGACTGGTGTAAATAACTTGAACAGAGACCATAAAGATCTCCCTTGCAGTGGCGCAGTGTGAGAGGCTATTGAGGGCTTATTGCTTTCCCTAAGCAGCCAAGGTGTTGCTTCAAAAGAAGGTACCTAATTATGCAGTGGGATGTGAAAGGCCCCTCTAATAAAAGGTGTGAAGGAAGTCTTCATTGTCCTCTGCTTTCAAAGCAGAAATCACACCTTTATGACAAGGAGCGGAGAGAACATCTCCTACAGCATTAGTGCTGGAGCAAGATGGTTGGTTTCATGAACAACCATGGGACATACGCCAGGCCGGACCCAACCATGCTGGGGACGTAGTTCTCAGGGGCTCACAAAGCCCCGCCAGTACATAACCCTTGCTGTCCTTGCTTGCACAGCACCTCCTCATTTTTAAGAATCACAGATCACAGCAGTGTCCCTCTGGTGCAAGCAGGTTAGAAGGACACAGCTACATCTAAAAGAGTACAGCATGATCAAGGAGGTTGGGTACTTGTGAAACTAAGCACAGCCAGCATCTGTTACTCAACGTTCTGATGGCAATTTTCTTGCCAACAAACAGATCCCGAGTCTGACCTTCTTAATACTCCACGGGTTTTTTTTTTTTGCAGCTCACTTCTTAGGAGGAATTTCTACAAGCGATATCCCTAGTTTCATGCCCCAGACCTGTCCAAGATCTATGCGGTAAGAGACAACCATGCCTCAGCTGATCCACAGTTGCACTCCGAGTCCCCAGCAAACAATGGGTCCTGTGAGCGGACTCAACCTCTTAGTCATCCACCTCAAAGTTGATGCTGCTGAGCTTGGACATTTACAAGATCTACCAGCTCTCAAAAGCCTCAGAGACAAACTCTGATGCTCCATGACCATCTCAATCCCTTCCCATTTCTATAAAAGTGGAAAACTCAAGAACTGCCAAGGTGGACCTGCTGGAGAGCAGCTCTGCGGAGAGGGACCTGGGTGTCCTGGTGGATGACAGGTTAACTATGAGCCAGCAGTGTGCCCTGGCTGCCAAGAAGGCCAATGGGATCCTGGGGTGCATCAAGAAGAGTGTGGCCAGCAGGACAAGGGAGGTTCTCCTTCCCCTCTACACTGCCCTGGTGAGGCCTCATCTGGAGTACTCTGTCCAGTTCTGGGCTCCCCAGTTCAAGAAGGATGAAGAGCTACTGGAGAGAGTCCAGCGGAGGGCTACAAGGATGGTGAGGGGACTGGAGCATCTCCACTACGAGGAGAGGTTGAGGGAACTGGGCTTGTTCAGCCTGAAGAAGAGAAGGCTGCGAGGGGACCTTATAAATGCCTACAAATATCTGAAGGGTGGGTGTCAGGAGGATGAGGCCAAGCTCTTTTCAGTGGTGCCCAGCAACAGGACAAGGGGCAATGGGCACAAACTGAAGCACAGGAAGTTCCGTCTGAACATGAGGAAGAACTTCTTCCCTCTGAGGGTGACAGAGCACTGGAACAGGCTGCCCAGGGAGGTTGTGGAGTCTCCTTCTCTGGAGATATTCAAGACCCGCCTGGACAAGATCCTGTGCAGCCTACTGTAGGTGACCCTGCTTCGGCAGGGGGGTTGGACTAGATGACCCACAGAGGTCCCTTCCAACCCCTACTATTCTGTGATTCTGTGATTCTGTAGTTGCAGCCAGGACACCACAGGGATAGCACACCACATACACTATAATCTACCCTTGCAAGAATCCAGGGACAGTTTACTGCCTCTGACTGTATTTCCAGTTCTTGAAAAAAGCAAAATAAAGCCCATTTGCAATACTCCTAAGGAACACACCCAATGGATACAATGCACTAGCTTTCAAGCTCTCGGGAACATTTCCGATGACGGTAAGCACTGAGCTGGCATGGACTACAACATATCATTGAGCCAATTCATCCCAATATCCTCAACAGGATATAATTGTGTTAAAGACATAATTTACAGTTGAGGAGTTCTCCAAGTTTCCCCTACTAACTTGAGTGAAGGAGAGGGGTAGGAATCTGGACAACATTAAATCCTACAACGCAATCATGGCTCTTTATCACTTCCATTCTTTCATTCGTTGATCCTCATGAGTCCCTTCCAGCTTGCGATATCCTACGATTCCCATCTCTTCTGGCTGGTCACAGCTGAGATCCAGCTCCCTGATCCAGGATCCACATGACCACTCTGTTGGTCCTCAGAGAGGCAGACGAGTGCTGAACTTACTGCACAAGCCTGAGACAAACTTTAAAAGCATCACTGATATCAAGCAGTCACTAATCACTTTTATAGGTTTGACTATTGCTCTGACACACAAAATACATATTGACATTAGTAACTCCTGGAAATAAAGCAGCTACCTAGACTTCAATTTTTTTAATCTATCTTGGCAATAACATATAATTTTTGCTGCTAAGTAGGTAAAGAGTTTGAGTTTCTGATGTATAATGCTGATGAGTGGCTTTGTTTGGAATAATTCTCACTGGCTTCAGCAGTGCATTTTCCAGATAAGGTTAAAGGAAAAAATGGAGTAAAAAAAAAAAAAGAAATACTTAGGTTTACCTTCCACTTGACAGAGGAATGGTCAGAGACACATAGGAATGAAGCCAATTTTGTACTGCAAAAATGCAGAATAATAGTGAAGGGTAGCCTAGATATATCATCCTCCTGATATATCATCCTATGATCTTAAAACACAATATAAAATATTTTGGAGCTCCTCTGAAATTTAAAATCTAAACAGTGATGTAGTAGCTGTTTCTGTGAATAACTCAGCCTATGCTATGGAAAAACATAGTGTGGCTATTAACTTAAAAAATTGTTGGTTAATACTTTAAGAAGCTTCTGGATGTTCTGAGAATTGAATATGCCATGTCTATACTCTGAAAGGCTTTCAATGACTCTTCT